CTAGAAAGGATTTCAAAGCCCATTACAAAAATGGCTAGGCATTATTATCCGCATTTCACAGAAAAGTCGTGGCTTACCCAAGGCCACATAGTGAGTGACGATACCAAGAATAGAATCCAGGTTTCCTGACTCCTAGCCCAACATCTTATCCATAGGACCTTGCTGCCTCCCCTCTATAAATAAGATAGACAGATATAGACTGTGACAGAATATACCTGTGTGTGTCCACACCCCACGCACTACTGTAATCATCCTTGTGAGGTTTCATTTAAAAACTCATAATTTGCTGGTCATTATGGCCCCACAGGTATGGTGACCAGACAGCAAATGTGAAAAATTGGGATGGGGATGGAGGGTAATAGGAGCCTACATAAGAAAAAGATCCAAAAATCAGGACTGTCCCTATAAAATCAGGACATCTGGTCACCCTACCCACAGGCCTCTGGAAGTCAGCATAATTTAGATCGGCCATGTTGTGGCTGGGAATGACCCAACACTCAATGGCCCCATGATGTGGGAGCACAAAGATGACTAAAAACCTGCCTTTGAACCCTCATCTCGAGCTGTATCTTGGCTCTTTAGACCTCTTTAGCTGTATGTGTGCCCTTGGACCATGGTCTGTAGCACGGTAGTTAGTCTATTGCAGGTTTTGAACACGCTTTGTAAATTTGTGAGGTTTGACAGAAAGCAGCACTGATCCTGTTAGACAGTAGCTTTATTTTAGCAGTACTGCAGCTTTAGCCAGCCTAGCTAAGTCAGTTCAAAAAGGATGTGATTCTTAAAGTCATGGGATACCCAGGAGAGGGAAAGAGGAGAAGCTGAGAACCAGCTCCCTGATTTTTCCGCCTCAGCAAAGGTTAGAGTAGCCTAGGGATGCTGTAATTTGTACTTCCTGACTATGGTTCCATAGGGACCACATATCAGCAGGGGGATAGCCAGAGCACTGTGTGGTCCAGCCATTTCCCCACCCTGCTCTCAATATGTCCCCTAAAATAGGGCTGTGAGGAGGGGAGATGTA